CCAGCAGGCCTGCCCTGCAAGCCAGGGCCAGAGCCAGCTGCTTGCTCAGGAGTCCCATGGGCTGCCTTGTGCCGCCCTTAATGAGATGTGACTGCTGAAGGGAAGCAGCTAATTGCATGATGTTTTATTAATCCTTTCTCCATGAAATAGTAATTAGGAGCTTTCACAAATACAAAGACCCGTCTGCTTTTTAATGGCTCAGGTTTGCGGTCTCTCTGGATGAATGTGTGAGAGTTTCCTGTTGAGAGGCGATGGTGACAAGCAGGAGGCCAGATCCTGTGGCATGAGCACAGCTGACAGCCCCAAACACCTGGGGGTGTCAAAAATGCCTTCCCCGGTGAGCTGCTCTGCCCAGCAGTCAGGGCTCTGCCCATGGGGAACCAGGAGGCAGGGAGCATCGCTGCTCGGTACAATGCAGTGACTTAGGCTATGGAGAGACTTACGTTCAAATATCCAGCCCACTGTGGGCCACCTGCAAGAGAAAGCCATCAACGCGGACATGGTGAGGACTGTATTGTGAGACTCACCTCTTCCTTCCCCTCTTTTCCCTGAGAGGGGCTCATCTGGGACAAAAAGCTTCCAAAGAGAAGCACAAGCCTCAAGTCAGAAGGGTTGATCGAATTTCAAGGGTGGTGGTTCCCGGAAGCAGAGGGGAGAGACTGGCTTCCAGGCATGGAGCGGGACAGGTGGAGTTTTATGAGGAGCCTCAGCCCACCTCCCATCTAGTCCTGGGCCGCTGCTGTGGGATGCCCAATGGCCTGACATCAGACCCAAGTACCGTATCCCCTCGAAGGGTTTCTGCATGAGTGGGAGAAGCAAGAACGGCCACTCCCCTAAAGCACCCCCACAGCCAGGACCCAGCACCAGACACAGATGACCCACAGGAATATTGGTTTCAGGGCCCCGTGAGAGGATGCCCAGCCTGGAGAAAGGCTGTCTGTCGAACAAGGAGGAGCAGAGATCCCCAGCCCGGAGAAAGGGTCACTGGGATATACCTCCAGGAGCCAAAGGGAGGTGAGCCTGCCCCTCTGTCATGTTCCCAAGAGATGGAGGGGCCATGGTGAACACTGCCCCAAAACCCCACACAGCACCGTCATGGAGAAACCAGCAAATGCCCCCAGTGATGGCTGGAGCCCACCTGAAGCAGAGTACGTCTGTGACCCTGTGCCTCCTCTGGAGGAAGCGAAGGAGAGAGCCTTCACTTCACCTCTACTCCCTGTCTCCAGACTCCTGATGAGATGCACTTGCAGGAAAAGGGGGTAACCTCAGGACCAGACCTCACACCTCCTCCCCAATATAAGAAGGCAGGGCTGCAGCTCTAGCCTACATTGGAGAGAGGGAAGAATTTGTCCAGAAAGTTTGAGTCCAACAAATTCTTAAGTTTTTTAAATAAATAGGAGGAAAAGCTTTGACTTTCAGAATGAGTAGAACCTGCAAGTGTTGCAGAGTGTTAGAATAAGACAAAGACCATGTTTCCAGAACCACAAAGGGGCAAGGGGCATTCCATAAAGTAGATTTCTTTGACACTCCAAGTGTGGTCCACAGACTGGCAGCACTGGCTTGTCAGGAAAGCAGAATTTCTGCCCTTAGCCCAAACCTGCTAAACCAGAGTCTGCATTTTACATGAGCCTCAGGTGATCCATATGCATGTTAAAGTTTGAGAATCACAGGTATAGTTGGATGAAATAAAACACTTAATGTTTATATCTCAATGAATCGAGATTTCTCAATCAATTAGTTATATTAGACAGGCTCTGTTTCTGTTGCTTGCATCAAAACCTAAAACTGATGATGAAATCATCACTCTGAATAACACGCCTCTCAGCATCAGTCCTTCTCAAAGTGGTAAGGGGAAAAGTCGGTCTTAGGGAATACTGAATCTGTCCTTGAGCCTTCCTGATGCCCAGTGCTTTCCCCAGTCGCTCCCCACCATATTGCACGTTCTGCACCACACCCACCCAGAACCAGCACGTGGCCACAAGGACATACTCTGCACACTCTGGGGTACCATGGTATGAATCAACATGGCAGCCCAGCTCATCCTAACTGACCTTTGTAAAAAACAAAAGTAAAATTATTATCAGAATTAGAGCACAAAACTGCATTTCTCAGGGCAGATTTTTCTCCTCTACACAACTGTAGCCACTCCAACCTCCCTTCCCAGCACCCCCAAGGGTGTCTCACACGGGCACGTGAATGTCTCCTCAGTCACCCTTCAGAGTCCACCATGTGCTCCTGTCTCCTCCGGTTCCCTGTGGTGCTCCCTGCAGACACAGGGCACAGCAGTCCTGTGTGCTCAGTGGAGCTGCACTGGGGGTTTTGACTGAGGGTACCTTCCCCCTGAAACCTGGGCACAGGCATGCATGTGGAGAGGTGGAGGACAAGCTAAATTGTCCTAGGGGTTCTCCAATCACTCTCTCCAAACTTCGTCTCAAAGGATGTATTGTTTTCCCTACAAATGGAAAACATGTATAGAGAGTTAGTTCACATCTGTCTCCCCCACTGGACAGTAGTCTCTATGGGGGCGTCTGGCCCTCCTTGGTTCACCATTGTTATTCAGCACTAACCACATCACCTGATGCAGGTGTTCAACTAATGCTTGGTAAATGAATAAACAGATAACTGAATTTGTTGAATAAGTAATAACTTCCCACTTTGGGCAAATCTCAACCACTCTGAGCCTCAGTTTCTTTACCTGTATAACAGAGATTAGGGTACTACCTGAGATGGTTGTCCAGAAGCTAACTTCTATCCATAAAAATGCCTAGCACAGGACTTTGTACCAAGCAGACTTTCAAAAATACTTGTTTCCTTATGATGTGGCATTAATTGCAAATCTTAAATCCCGAATGAGACCTAAATAAGCACTCTTCTCGGACTCGGTCTGCACAATCCAGCAAAATGGCGCCTCCTCCCCCATGCCTTCCCCAGCCACCGCCCATTCTTAGGCACCATTAGCTCTGCCTCTTCTGTGTTACCCTGGCACTTCACACTGCCCTGCCTCTGCTAGAGCACTTACCATAGTCTCTGGGCCCAGCTCTGTGTGACTGTGACCTTCTCGAGGGCAGGGCCTTGTCCTTCACCTGCCTGCAAGCTCCACACTGGAATGAACATACAAATGAATGAATGAATGAGTGAATGAATGGTCTCAGGCCTCTTCTCTGCTCTCCACGAGCTTTTTAGGTTGAAAAATATGCTTATTCATTTTGAACACGGGCTTTGAAATTTGACAATCCTGAACTTGAATTCAGGGTCAACTAATTATTATTTAAGTGACTTTAGGCAATTTCTTATCTGCTTATACCTTGTGTGTAACGTGGGGTTAATAATACCTAACTCTCAGAGAGGTTTGGGGAATTCAGTTAGATAATGGGTGATAAATGGTTAAAACAATGTTGACCATTTATTAAATACTTCATCAACTGAAACTTACTCTTACCTAGTATACTAGTGTATACTTGGATGTGAATGGTAAATGAGTTTCCAACTTGCTGTCATTCCTAGGGTACCTATAAAGTTCACCTGGGATACCCTAAATTAAATATGTTTGCCTTGGTTTTCACAAATAAATCAGGAATGGCGCAATTATAGGGACTTAGAGTATCTTGGAACTCAGTGACCTTGGAGAAACATCACCCATGAATGTCATTACCATTTCTTTAGGCTTCCAATAGCGTTAATAGAGCCACCAACAAATATTTTCAGAGCCTCTACCAAACCAGTATAGGGGGAGCTGAGAGGAGGGGAGGGTTGGATACAACATAGGAGGGTGGGGCAAGAGTGATTCTCACCTTCAAAGAGGTTTTAAGGAAAATAAAGACCAATGCCAAGAGAGTCATTTCACAATTCAGGAGTACTCTGCCCCTCCCCCCTTATGTGTTTAAATAATTTTTAAGTTATATTAATCCACATTTATCTAGGACTTATGCCCTAAGCACTGTTCCAAGCATTTCACAGGTTTTTAACTCTTCAATCTCCTCACCAAGCCTCTGAGGTCCATATTAGTATTGTATTTCATCGTACAGATGGTCAGACTGGCACAGAGATCACGTGTCTTCCCGAGATCTCACAGGTAGTAAAAGGCACAGCAGGGGCACACGCTCCCAGCCCAGGTCACCCTGCCTCTGCACAGCAACTGCCACTTCTGATCGATGCTAGAGGCAGTGATGGTGAAGATGATAATAACAAATGACAAACTGCTCGCAGGCAGCCAAGTCTTAATGGAGACTTTCCGATATCCAAAGCATTGAAGAGACATGGATGCCTCCATATCTGTATGTCATTAAAAGTAAAAATTATAGTACTAAGTGAAAATAAGTCACAACATTTTCATATATAATGAAATTAAAATAGCTTTTCTTTAGATTATGAATGCAAAATTCTGGAGCAGTTATTCAACCTGAACCTTTTGCAGTGTGTTTTCTGAGACCCTACTTGGCTGGTGACCTAATACATGTTTGGTGCCTCCCAGCCCGGAGGGCAGGGTCCAGGCTGGATGCTTTACTCTCTCCAGTCCCAGTAGAGGGCAAGTTCCATCTCTACAAAGGTTTGTTGAATGAATGCTTAACCATGTGTTTTCCAGTATAGTTGGGTTGCCAGATAAAATGCAGGATGCCTAGTTATACTTGAATTTCAGATAAACAATTAATAACTTTTTAGTATAAGTATGTCCTGTGTCATATTTAACTGACATCCTGTGTTTTTGTTAGCTAAATCTGGCAACCCTACCCTCTAGATATAGGAATTCACAGAAAGGAGAGTGAGTGTGGCTTGGAGCCAAAGGGACTGTCCTAGAAGAGACAGAGGTTGAGCTGACTCAGTAAGGAAACATAAAGGACAATGTTAATGGCACCCTCTGGAGTTGTACAACCCAACGACCCCGAGAGATGAAAGGCATTCCAGGCAGGGAAGCCAGCACAGACTGAAGGTTGAAATAAGCATGGCAGGATGGAAGACAGTGAGGAGGACAGCTGTCTGGGGCACCTACAATCCAGCATTTCCAAACAACTTCCAGGTCCTCAGTGCCCATTTCCCTCCATGCTTCCCCACCAAGCCGCCTTTGACCATGCAGTCTCTCTGCCTGGAACTCCTTCCCCTCTCTCTGCCTGGCTTCCTCCTTGTGCACTGAAGACCTCCCATGTGTCAGCTGGTATATCTCTGCCCCAAATCCTTATGTGTCAATCTTAACAAACCTCCCAAGGCTTGTGTGACTTTCCCATAATCTTCCAGCATGCTTCCACCAATAGTAAAAGGAAGTAGAGAGGAATCATGTGATCATCCTGCGTGGCCATCATTTGGGGTCCTGCCTGCCCATGTGAAGTCCCCTTAGCCTGTGCCTGGCTTGCAGGGCTGTGGCCAGGGGTCGGTCACCTGCTGAGTATATACCACCTTGAGAAACTTTCTTCAAAAATGTCCACTGCAAAGGTTTTATAAGCCCAAGATCTGATTTACCCAGTTAAATGCTGTCCTGACCCATTCTGCCTGGGCCATTTTTTATTTCATAACTATCTCCCTCAAGGGGGCCCTCAGTGCTGCCACACAGTCACGTATCCCGCCCCAGTCCGTGCTCTCCCAGTCTCCTAGACAGCCACCTCCTCTTCTCCTCTCTCCCTACACCTCTGACATCTCTTCCCCATCCTCACTCTTGGCAGAGAATTCAGCTTCTCATTTCACTGAGAAAACAAAGGCCATCAGAAGAGAACTCGCCACCCCCCGCCCAGCCCCCAACCGACCTGCCCCCCCTGCTGCAGGAACGAGCTGCCCTGCTCCTGTCCATTGGTTGCTGGATCCCACGCTCTCCCACCTGCTCAACATTGCTCCTGAGGTCGACACTCTCCTGCATCATCATTTTTCCTCTCTACTGGATCATTTCCACAAGCACACAAACTTGCTGCTTTTCTCCCACTTGGAAATATCCTCTCTTGACCCCACGTCCCCCCAGCCTCATTTCTCTGCCCCCACACCTTTGCAGCAAAATTCCATGAAAGAGCTGACTCTAGTCGCTGTTTCCACTTTCCTCCTCTCATCCTCTCCTGAGCCCACTCCATCAGGCCTTTGCCCCCACCACTCCATCACACCTGCTGCGCTCCCCAGTGACCTCTGAACCCCATCTCCACGGACTCCTCCACAGCGTCTGACAGGGGTGGTCACTCCATCCTCTTTGAAACTCTTTCTTTACTTGGGCAGCACAGGCTCCTTGGCTTTTCTACCTGGTCGGCTGCTCCCTCTTCATCTCTTACTGTATCTTTCCTATCTCTTCAGCCTCTAAACAATCGAGTCCCCCTAAGGCTCAGCTCTCAGACCTCATTTTCTTCTCTTTCTAGGATCACCCACTTGGTGATCCCAACCTGTCTCATGGCTTTAAATGACAACTTCCCAAACTCTCCCTTAATATTGTAGAACAATCTGCCTACATAAAATCTCCACTTGGATGGTGGCCAGGCATAACAAACTTAACATATCTTTGCTCCCCTAAACCTGTTCTTCTGTGGTCTTACCTGTCTCAGTTAATGGCAAATCCAGTTTACCAAAATCCGAGGAGTCATCATTGATCCCTTTCTTCTCTCACACGCCCATCCAAATCAGCAGCAAAGCTGTCAGGTCTACCTTTTAGGAGTACTCGGAATCCCACCACTCTCCCTCTTCCACCCTGGCCAGCTGCTGTCATCTCCTGCCTGGACCATTGCAGCAGGCTCCCACCTGATCTTCCATTTCCACTCTTGCTCCTCTACTGTCGGATCTCCACACCGCAGCCAAAGGGATCCTCTTAAATGTAAATCTTACATGGGACAAGACCCTACCTTATCAGGCCCATAGACACCTTCACAACCTCATCCACCTCCACTCTCTTCCTAGTGCTCTCGTCACCTGGTTTTTCTTCTCTTTTCTTTTTTTTTTCATCTGGTCTTCCTATAGTTTCCCCAACACAACACACCTAGCACACATCCTCCAGGAAGACTCTGCGCTAGTTATTGCTCCCTCTGCGCAGAATGCTGTCCCCTCCTCACTCCGCATCCCACCACCCCAACAGACTCCCTCCTTCAATTCATCAGTTCTAGCTTAAATATCACCTTAACAGAGAAGCCCCAACTAACCTATTTAAAATAGTACATACTCACACACATACACAAGTGCCTACACTGTATCATCTGACTCTGTTTCTTCTTTTTCCATAACACCCAAAATATCATGTATTTTTATTTCTTTTTTCATTGTCTGCTCATCCTTGCTGGAATGTAAGCTCTAAGAGATCAGGTCCTTTGCATGTTTTGTTTACAGCTGTTCGGTTTACAGAGTCTAGGACACTGTTTAGACCATAGAATTGTTCAAGAAATATTTATTAATAAAATAAACAATTCATTTCCTGTGTGTGATGGTGGTGGCCACTAAAGGCAACTAAGAACTTAAGTGCCTGGCAGCTCCCCAGATCAGACAGGGTACACAACAGCTCTAGGGAGAGTTTAGAACATCACCACTCATACTTTTAGTTCTCAGTTTTTATGTCACTTCTTTTCTGACACCTTCCTCCCCTTAATAAAATTAAGTACTCTCGCCATCTGCTCCCATAGCATCCTAAGTTTCTCATGTCAAAGTAGTTGTCACATATTATAATTGTGTCTTAATTGTCTTCTTTGTAAGACTGTATATTTTCTGAAGATGCATATGGAACTCTCAGTAAGCACTTGTTGAATGAGTAGATGAATCAAGTAGAATGAGCAGAGTGTGGCCATGTCCTTGAAGCTGAGGGACTGGGCGTGACATCAAGGAAGAGGGTGCATTAAAAGGAGCAGGGACAGAGTGATAAGCCTGAAATATTCATAATAAGAAAGGAGGATGGGAAGGAGGGAAAGAAGAGGGAAGAAGTGGGGAAGGCTTGTTTAATGTCCCTGCCAAGTGCCAGCAAACTAACTTCGGCCTTAGCAGCGTCTACACACACAACCAAGCTGGCACAGTCTGGTCCAATGGCCTTCGAATGTAGCCCACAGCAGCTGCCTGTCTAGCTGTAGTGTAGTCACTTTTCCATCTGCCATGCTGATGAGACGTTCCCCTGGGAATTCTCTTCCTCTAGGCCGGGTGCTCCGAATAGGATGGAGTTGACTCT